TCAGACGTCTCAGAGGAGCTGGCTCTGGCCCCAGTTCCCACAGTCACTCATTCTCCAGCCGGTTCACCCCTTAATGGTCGTCCCCGGCTATTTCCAGACCTGTAACTGTTCTGAACCAGTCCGCTCTCATTGGGTTACTGGAGTGAACCTACTCTCTAAGGGCTGGTTTCAGGGCTGTTGGGACATTCAAGGAGGAATTTTTGACTTGTCTGGCAGAAAAACGACCAATTATATACAGAGATGGGTTTTGCTGTTGTTGCTGTTCTTCTTCTTCCTTTTTTCCTGTAATTGCTTTGAGCTGAGAGGAAAACACTGACCTTCAAGCTGCGAGGAAACAATCTGCCAGAAGTTTACAGATGTCAAATGCTTTCTCTCAGTTTGTGTGTGTTCACCGAACGCACACAGTAGCCTGGATGAAAAACACTTGAGAAATATGTGTTTTCTGTTTGTTATCACCAGAACTCTGACATCCCCTCCCCTCGACCTCCGTCCCCACAGGTACAGCCCGGACACAGACAGCTGGAGTACAGATGTAGCACCGTTGAGCAGCCCCCGCAGCGGCGTGTGTCTGGTGGCGATGGATGGATACCTGTTCGCTATTGGAGGACATGATGGCATAACGGCTATGAGTACTGTTGAGAGGTAAGAATCCTACTGAAGATCTCACAAAATGAACCTGCTCCTCTTCGTAATCACTGGAAACAAATAAGACTTCTCATCTAGACTGAATGTGACTTTTAACCATCTCATAAAATGGATCTATCACACACCATCTATACATTGTGGACACAGTTGTAAGACCCTTTCGATCACAGATTGGAGGAGCTGGGGATCGAACCAAAAACTATCTAGTTAGTGGACGACCATGCAAATCTCACAGTCAATAGGTTTCTCTCTTTGTAAAGAAGAAATGTGTTCACAACAGAAGCTGAATTTCTCCAATTCCATCTACTTCTGTTTTCAGCTTTGTTTAATTTGAGGAAATGTCCTTGTTTGTGTCAAACATGACAAAAAACCTCCTTTAAAAAATACCCATAACCACAAAGTGGAACCAGCAGCCTGTGTCTGCTCTGTACATCTCAATGTTAACACCTCACATCACTTTGAAAGCAGTCTGACCTTTGTGTCGTTGTTCCAGGTACGATCCCAAAATGAACACATGGAGCAAACAGGCCCCGATGCTGAGCAGACGAGCCAGAGCAGCTGCCACTGCGCTGGACGGTCACCTGTATGTGATCGGAGGGAATGATGGAGACATGGCTCTGAGCTCAGGTGAGAGACGTCAAATTACAGATATAAAAGTGTCAACTGAGCGGCTGTGGCCAGAAGGTCGGTGGTTCAATCCCCTGGATCTTCCAGTCCACACAAACCCCAAATTGTCCTTGAAAGATTAAATGTGGCTTGTTGTTCCAAACAGTTTGAGTGGTCGTTAAAACTAGAAAAGCACGATATAAATACAGTCCATTTAAAGGTTTGATCAAGTTTCCTATTAATCAATCAACTGTTTGTTCTATAGAATATAAGAAAATATAATAAACACCTATCACAAATTGCTGTTTTGTCTGAGCATTAACATAAAATCTACATTTATTGAAACTACAGAGCTATAAAACGTGAAAAATCCAAATAATCTTTTCAGAAGCTGGTATCAACAAATGTCTGACTAAAAGTTTCAGCTCTTCTCTAAAATCCCCATTGTTACGATATAAAGTTTAATTACATGCACTTAAATTTAATAGTCAGCCAGTGCTTGTTGAGTTTTTATGTGATGATGTGACTTGTTACAAGTGGAACAAATTATACAAAGCACATTTTGAAAAAGGACCAAAAGATGTTTCAGAACTGCTCCACAAACAATTCCCTGAAATCCAATCGAGCGGCACCAGATGTTACACACTCAGATATCAGTTTCCTAAATGTGCCTGAAGTTTCTAATCAAGATCCTTGAATTATTCACTGGGAAAACAGTGAAAATGTCCCAAAAAAACAAAGCAAATTTTAAAGAAAGTGACAAAAAATCTGAGCGATCTGGATCCACACCAACGTTTGAGCCGCACCACATCCTTCCACTATCATTTATTAATTTTGGAATTCATGCTCACAAAACGCCGGATAGGTTATTTTGTGAAATGACTTGTTCCCACCATTACTTTAAAAAAAATCTCAGCTTTCACTGACAGCTTTTTGAGGCACGCCAGGCCTCAAGTCACACATCACAACAAGATTGACCTTTTTTATTCTGCCAGTGTGTCGTCCCCCTGCCCCCCCAACACACACACACATACATTCTTGTCCCCTTGACCTTGCCAAAGATAAACAGGGGTTATGTTGTGCCACCGCTTGTCACTGACTATTTCAGTCTGTGAGAAAAGAAGGTCAGTTAATTTCCCACAATCTTTTTTTTTTGTTCAAACGCTCCTAAAAATGGTTTAGAATTACAGTATTTGTGGAGCGTTTTAAATAAACGCCTTAATTAAAGAAAGTAAATGGATATTGATATCTATATCATCTGCTTTCAGACAGACGTCTCTAACTTTCTAAGTACACCTAAAGTTGCATTAGATCAATAAATCCTGTATGGATTTGTATATAAATATAAGCACGGGTTGTCTGTGAGGTACTGTTACTCATACAGTGTGCATAGTTGTGTATTTCATGGTATATATGGCCTCATCTGGGTTCTGCTATCCTCTAAATGTTCCCCAGTGGAGCGGTACAATCCTGTAGACGGTACCTGGTCGATATGCGCCCACATGCGGAGTCCCAGGGAGAACGCCGGGTGCACCGTGTACCTGGGACACATCTACGTGTCCGGGGGCAAAGATGAACTCAGCCTGGAGCTGTGCGCTGCTGAGAGGCTCGACCCCGACACCATGAGGTGGTCCCCGGTGAAATGCATGAGGAGCAAGAGGGACAACGTGAGTAATGGCTGAGATCAGAAGTCAGGGCTCCACACTGATCTAATACCTAGGGTATATGCAAATGAAGAAAACAGGAAAGAGAGAGGAGAAGTGACTGAGGCGAGGATGTTGTTTTCTTTTCCAGATATTTAAGGTTTCACGCCATTACTCTCTTTGGACGCCACAGTCAAGTAGTTTTTTTGTTGGTACATTTTGAATAATTGAAAAGTTTGACCTGGTGAGTTTGGACAAAGTTATTGTTTATTCATTCATCCTGAGGGGCACATGAGGGTGTGTACTACCAAACATTTCATGACAAACCATTCATCACTTATTTACTCATAGTGATGCAAGAGGAGAATCTTTTTTAGGCATCATCCTGGATAAGTTAAAGGGAAACTTTTGCTCTGCTGGTGGCGCTATCACCAAACTCACCAAGCCACTATGTGAATATCAGCAGTATCTTAAGCTCTTTCAGTCGGGACCAGAACAGTGAATCAACATTTCCAACCACACTGATCCATGCTGACGTTAGTTTCACTTGATAAGGAAACCCCAGGAATGGTTTGCAATAGTTAAAACAATCAAAATTAAATATATATATTAAATTCAAACCACATATTGTATGATTTGAACTAATCTGTTGATAGTTTTTACTTGTATTGTTCCTGTGTTTTGTGCTTCAGATGTCTCTGGTCGTGTTCAACGGTTCCCTGCTGGCTGTGGGAGGCTCTGATGGTGTCACCAATCTGAAAACAATAGAAGTTTACAGCCATGAAACCAACACGTGGAGGTAAAACCAAACATCAGTCATCAATCAAATAACATAAAACAGGTTGGAGTTATGCTTTAAAAAAGACTATGGATTAAATCAATGTTGTGTATAATGAATTAGCAGTTTAGCCACGACATAGGAAACGTATTAATAAGAAAACAGTTTTTAATGTAAATATTGACGCAACAAGTTGCACAGTAGCATGAACCATACAAGTATCAGCACTACTGGTCAAATGTTTTAGAACATCCTCATTTCTTATTGAAATTCCATCTGTTCAAGTGCACGGAGTAAATGGTACAAAGGCTTTTCAGGGATTCATTTTTAAGAAAATGTACAGATTTCCTGCCTCAGTAGAAATAAATGTCCATTTTCTACACATGTCCCAACTGTAGTTGATTCCATCTGTCTGCACAAGGACACTGTTGGAACAAACTGTGTCTCTACAGCCTCTGATGCACTATTAGAAAAATTCTGTATCGCAGGAAGTAGTGCTGTAAATTGCTGTCAGAAAGTGATGAGGGAAACCGACAGGTCAGGGGTTCCTCCTACAGCGAGATAATGACCCGAAACATCGGAGGAAAAGGAACAGATGGAGACTCCACATGACGGAGGAGCAGCACAGTCTCCAAACTGAAACCCCATGAAGCCGCTTTAAGATTTCTGCAACAGTGATGAACTTTAAAATCAATGTTTAATTTCCAATGTAGGAAGAAAAAAGTGTGTTCGACTGAGTCCAAAACTTTGATTTAACTGAATTCCATTAATCCCATAAAATCAAATCTTGATCATTTTTTATTTCTGTGCTTGAATTCAGAAACAATAGGACACCATGTGATTTTCAGTATAAACTGGAGAAAGTCTTCCAGAGCTTTTAACCAGGATTCATTAAACTCCATTTAGTATTTTAGCAACAGGATCCAATAACAGAGTTAACTGAGTAAGGGTGAGTTCAATCATAAATAATTGTTTATGTCTACTTGGATTGTGAACATTTATCGGGGAGTAAAAAGTTTGAATTATTCACAAGTATTTAAATTATTTACATATTAGTGTGAAATCACATGGGATGCAGTGTGGGGCTGAAAAGTGCTGACTCAAAAATCATTTTCTTTAAAAAAAAAAGTGTCATCCAATGTAATTGCTCCTGCTCATTAAAATTAAAATGTGACACTTTGTCTAATTAATGCCGTACGTATATATTTTCGATGTGATTCAGCTGTCGAACAGATTTCAAGCTTTGCAACAGAAAAGCCTGATTTGTGTAAAGACAGTCGTCTGCTTACATCCAGACAAATACACAGTCACTTTGTGATTCACGCACCGAGCTGTATGTACTGCATGTATTCTATATATTATATATGCCTTCGGGCTGCTTGCTAAATCTGAGTGCTTCACTGAGTCTCGCTGTCTCCATCTGTTTTTAGACACTTTGGAAGCATGAAGAGCAAGCATCCAGGAGGCAGAGTGGCTGTTCTGTGCTGATACTCCACAACGCTCGTGTTACGTCAACAGGACAGAGGTGTTGCAGAGAAAGAGTCTAATGGACACATATACTCCGCCGGTCTCCAGGACACATTGTGAAACGGTTCAAGAATAAAGCAGCATAATGACTGAATAATTAAAGAGTTCAGTCCAAAATGAGACATCCCTGCATTAGTCGGAGAGCTGCAGCTGCTGCTCAGAAAATGACTGTGGGCACTGAGGTGAAGCTTATTATAGGCTAACATTTTCTTTGTTATGTCTCTAGCTTATACGACAGGCTTCTTTTATAGAGATGAACCAGAGGAAAATACATTTCAGCTGCATTTCCCCATGAGAACAGAGCAAATTTGGGATTGAATGCCGGGATTGAAACAGAAACATTTTATTAGAGAAAGATAATCACAGTGTGAAATTAAGAAAAGTGATCCTGGTGTTTAAAGACAGAGGTTCTCATTTACCCCCTCCGTGACTGAATATATTCCAGGGACCCCCTCATGTATATATCCAGTGGATTAATGCAATATAGACAATGTTCTTTTACATTTTTACTAAGTTATGTGACAGATCAATGGGAGAGAAATGCAAGATATTAATGTGAATGAAATATATTAGACATGTATTGAAAATATTTCCATGTCAACACAGAATACACAAATTATATTATAATTTTAAATCTGGAAACTTGCCCTGAGAGAGCCACGACTTACATTTGTGCCACTTGTACATTTTTTATTTTATGTTATTCGATACACGATTGTTCGTACTGTTGTGTAGTGATGTAAAGAGATGAACTGAAGGGTAGAGATGGATTGAATGCAGGTTTTTGGTGAAAGAAAGTTCAAGATTTGGATGTCAGACTGATCACTATAGGAAAGTAGAGACTTAACCTTGGTATATTGTACAAGGAGGTATTGAAGGTGGACGACTTGGGAGGCAAACAGAGTACTGGGTGTTTTAAAGTACACAGGGATATATGGAAAAGATATGTTTTATGTGAATTTAGTCCAGTAAGTTTGAACCTTTTATTTATTTTTTTTGTCTTAGAAATGTAAATGCCAACCATATGACAAGTTTTGCGTGAGCATCAGTTTCTGTGACTTCCCGTCACCATACAGGAAATTACCCTTGACTGGGACTATAATACAAATCATTCATCTTGAATAAACATACACAAAATGGGTTTTCAAATATCAAAATCATCTGGACTGATGTGTGGAAAAATAGAAAGACAAAAAATCGGTGGGAATAAAGATCCTGAGTGAGATAAGATGAGCCGGTGAGTGAGATGCGACTGCTGGCATGGGAAAACATATAAGTAGCTTGTGTGGGCTTTAAAACGATGACGCTCAGAGCTCTTCCCCCTGGAGAGTCATGGTCTGAAATGTGGGGAGGCTGAGCGCAAGGAACACACACACACACACACACACAGAGCAACGCTGAGCATCGCTGAGCAACGCAGAGCAACGCAGAGCTTTATTTTCCTGTGGATGCACACACACGAGCCGACGGTGTCTTCTCCAACCGTGCCTCTGTGTGCACATCACAGCATGAATATTTTTTTCAATTTGAGAGGGACAGTTGTGAGGCAAGTAGCAGAGGACAGAGCTGTTCCAGGTACGTTTGAACAGAAACAACAAAAATGTGTGTTGTCCAGTGAGATATTGTGAATGTATAGAAGTTGTCAAGACTTTGCATGATATATGTACCCACACCCCTGATGTTGGATTTTAGGGAATTATGGTAAGAATTAAATAAATAACTTATGATTTAAGGGGTTGTAGGCTATTCAAAAGCCTGTATGTGACAGACGCATGTTTTTAGTGACTGGTATTAGAGTGTGACAGGAATATATTCCTTCATTGTTACGAACATGCAGCAGGAAAGCAAAGTTACTCTTTCTACATCTGATGAGGACACAGGCACATGACTGGCATTTCACCCTGAGACTTTGCTGATGAAACACAAGGAGTCTGCGTTTCATTCATTTGATAAAACCACTGTCTTGCAATGTAGAAATCCCAGAGGGAGGATCATAACATATCTATGTATGTGAGAGGTTTCCTGTCCAGCTTGATAGATTTTAATGTTATTTGTAAAGATCTGTATAAGGATAGACGATCGGTGATGCAGCCTTTGTCAATTATGCCATTCCCATAGGAACACATTACAGATAGATATAGAAAAAGCCAGCTCACGAGATATTTTCCAAAGAAAGCTGAAGACAAATCTCGACACCCGAACCTTTACATAGCTAGACTTGCTCTCTACTGCACTTTTTAATGCACTGTATTCTCCTGATGCAATGTTTTTATTGGTATACACTTTGAGCTTTCTCAACAGTTGCTTGATGGTGACTGCTTGTTTTACTCTGTCTGATCTGCCGGTGTTTACTGTGCTATGATTTTATACTGATTCTATGGCTCGAAGCAAAATTAGAGTGGTTGCAGCTTCATTGTCTACTCACCACTATGCCGGTGGAGGGGTGGGTGAAGTGTTTGAGTCCACAAAACACTTTTGGAGTTTCCCGGTAAACAGCGTTGCAGCCAAATCCAAATCCAATTGAGGTTAATTTCTTCAAATGTTAAAAAAACTGCAGATAAAAACCTCCATACAGCTCCTGTGGTGTGATCCAAGTGTCCGGAATCCCCCCAATTCAAATTCAACTGGAAACAGCGACATTTAAATTGTGTTTTTAACCTAAATGTCCTCTGATGTCCTCCTAGTTACTGCTGCAGCTCCTGCGAGAGCTCGTGAGTGAGGTTTAACGTTCATATAGAGAAACCAACAGTTCCCACAATGAGCAGCACTTTGGCGACTGTGGAGGAAATCAGTGTGGGGGCGGCCATTTGCCTCGACCGGTTGGGGTGAGCGCAGAAAAATGGAGACGAGAGGAGATGCTGGTGGCAAAGAGGAGAGAGAGAAGAGAGAGAGAGAGAGAGAGACCAGGAACAGGAACAGACTGGTTGTTATAATGAAATAATAATGTTCAGTTGTACCGTAGCGTCCTCTGGTGTGAAGGTACGCTAAGGCTACAGGTAAATCTGTAATCATTGTATGAAAGGTGCAATACAAATGTAGTTTATTATAATAATTATTATTATTATTAGTTTTACATATGATCAGGCTTCATTTCGAGGTTGTCCGGTAGATATGAAGCTCCCTGTATAGGTGACTTCAGGTTAAAGAATGGACGCCGTCCTCCTCCTCCTCCTCCTCCTCCTCCTCCTCCTGCTCCTCCTCCTTCTCCTCCTCCTGCTCCCCTGGAGGATGAAGATGCTGATGCTGACAGAGGAGTAACCAGTCCTCACTGTAGCCTGGTTAAATGGCAACACAGGGAGGGGAAAAAAAACATGGGCACAAGAAGCGGCACTAACGGAGACTCTGATGCGGAGTGTGACGGGAGAACATCTGGGGACAGATGCGGAGCCAAGTGGCCTAAAAGCTGGAGAGTTTCTCCTTCCTCCGCGGCGCAATGTAGTCCGCCGGCGGTGCGGAAACAAAGTTGTTGCTAGGCGACAGTGAAGTCAAGGCGTCGCGCATTGATATTCAAATTAAGTGTCAGGTGTGCGATAAGTTACAACCGCGCGGAGGGCGTGTCAGCCAATCAGAGCCGAGGACGGGACTAGCTTCTTCTCCCCTCATAGACCTAAACATGCTAACATGCTAACAAGCTAGCTGTTCGCCAGAGGACCGCTCCTCCCTCCCCCCTCCTCCCCCTCGGTAATGAAGGCGCTGCTGTCTCGGGGACTCGGTGTTGTTGATGATGGTGGTGGTGCCGGTGGGAGACGTCCTCCGGCTCACAGGCGGAGCTGCGTGAACAGAGTCCGGAGCTCCTCGGAGCCGAGCCCGTGTTTACGATGATGGGACCCCGGTCGCAGGCGGGAGCACAGCCAGGTAACCAAGGAGTCCTCGGGGGAGCGAGGGAGGGAGGGAGCACTTTACTCCGGGTTTAAAGTTCAGCTGCTTCAGCCTGTGCATGGAGGATCTTCTGCGAGATAGCTGCCGTTCAAACTGGAGGGAATGAATGTTTGTGTTGCTCTGAAGCGAACTTACTTCAATGTTTACTCACTTAAATACCTGAACGCCAGTGCTCGGCTTCACAGTGGAAATGGGATTTAATTGCAACCTTCCAGTCCACTTGCATGCTTTTACTTTTATTTATTGGTGTGGTGCCCCCTTTGTAGATTCACTTTTAATTGCAGATGTTTTGGAGGGGGGTTAATGAGTGATGAAGAAACTCTCAGATCTGAAGAGACAATGACTCTGCAGCCTGTGTTATACATCTGAATCCTTCCTGCAGCCTTTGTCTCTTAATCAAAGTTTTATTTGAACAAGATGAAGTGCTCCAGAGATGAATACTTGTCCAGAAGACACTTTTACCTTCCAAGACCCCGTCAGTGCTCAGAGGACATGTTTTGATTTTAGAACACAGATCATAATATTTCAGATTTTGTACTCCCCGTTGTGGTACCAAGTATTTCAAAGGTAACATCGGCCTCAGGCAGTTTTTTAAATGAATGCATAAATTTGAAGAAGAATGCTGATTCACAGACATTGTTATTCTGCTTTGTTTCTATTCATTATCTAATCACATCGGGTTCTCTTAGTCACTCAGAGTTGTATTTTGTCTCTGACCTGTCTGCATTTGTCCTCGCTGTGGTATTTTATCCATTAAATGGAGACAGTCCACAGCGACAGAGCACCTCTCTCCCCTGTTATTGTGGTCACATTGCCTCATCCATTTATCATATCCTGAAGGTTGCAGACTCTGGATTTTTTTATTTAGGTGATGAGGCTTATTTTACTCGCTCGGAAGAGGACATTTTCCTATTAATCTTGTCACCCCGAGTTCCTTCACCCCTCTACTTTTAAGTAAAGGAAACATTGAGGACAGGTTGTTTTTTTACTCTTCTCCTCTCCAGCACACTCATCAACTCCCCAAATGCTTTCCTGCGCTGCTGAGGCTCTGTGCTCCCACTGTTATTCGGGGGGTAATGGGTCTCTGGGTGCTATTAGTGCACTCAAGGCTGCCCACACTGTACTATGATGACCACATACAATTATATGGCCCTGCAATATCCCCTTTTGTTCCCTCAGTAGATACTAGAGGGAATTCAATGCAGTCTCAACACTGTACAAAGGGAAATGATGCAGTTGAAAATGCAAAACTAAATAGAAAAAATAACCTCAACTAGGACTCACCCAAGTAAAAACACATATCCATACACATTCAGGTATTTAAGTGCAGTAGAGATGTCTGTGTCCTGTTTTTGAATTGATTATCTTTTCCTGGTTTTGATTCATACACAGAAAATGGATTTAACACCTCACTGATTATGTGGATTCTTCCTCTCTATGGCTGCACAAATTAAAAACCTCACCTCTTGGCTGTCTTTGGTAAACTCATGCGGCAGGTAAATATTAGATGATCGATCTACCTGAAATGCTGCTTTCCTTTTCAGTGGAGTATTTATACTATAAATAATAAAGCACCATATATTTGGTATGTGTGAGACAGGGAATGTATTAATATTAAACTGCACCACAGCATTAAAGCATGCCTGTGTAATCTCTCTTTGTTTAAAGAGCGACACATTTCAGAGTGTTAGCTGAACTCTAAGTTAAGCTGCGACACAGGCAGCGAATGTAATCATATCACATCCTTACTAAGTCTGAAAGAGGTGAATTTTTAATAAGTGTTAAAACTCTTCCTCTCCTTCTTTTCCCCTCTCTGTCTCCCTCCTTCATTTGTCCCTTGACTCCCCCACAAGAGGCAGCAATGAGCCTGCCACGCCAATCATCAAGTTCCCATGATGTCAGGTAATTTCCCGAAGCACTCCATTGCCATACATGTGACACATTCACACACTCACAGCAATATGTAGCCTATGAGGTATGCAGTAGACACACGTATATATTGTTTAATTATACATGATACACGTGAAAGAGGACAGTTACATGAAATTATCTAGTTCAGACTTTCATACATGACTAGCTTGGACTCGGGAAATCAGGTCCCCCCGTTCAGCTCTTCTTTAACAAAGAAAATCATTTATATTTAAGGTGTGTCCTGGTTTAACCAGCAAGATGGTGAAATGGTGGCAGCTCTTTAAAGTGTATGTGAAATCTTATAGAAATCTGTCCATTCTTTGAATATGTTTTTTGTTGAGTGGGTTTGTCATGAAACA